ATGGAGCTTTAGAGGCCATCCAGTTCCACCCTCCTTGCCTTGAGCGGGGACATTCTTCCAGCCTGGCCTTGAGCCCTTCCAGGGATGGAGCATCCACAGCTTCCATCGTGATCATAGGCACTGAGTTGTGTTTTTCTTGTAGTTTGTTGTCAGTTTGGGGATACTCTGAATTTTTAAACTCTCTTCCCACCTTTTCCCCAAGGCTTTTTTATATTCTCTGCCATGGGAAGAGCCCTGGGAGCCTGCTGTGTGTCGGGTCCAGTTGCACGTGGTCTGATTTGGCTCCTACACCTGGGGTTTTTTTTAAGGCATTTTAAGAGCAGTGTGAGTCACGAGCTGTCTGGGGTGTCCTACAGAAACAGGTTGAAAACAGCAGCAGCAGTTCCTTCCCTTCCATTTGAAGCTTTAAATTTCATTTGATGCCTCTGCAGCTTATGTGCTATGAGAGACAGTGGCAGTCATTCCTTAGTCACCTTCCCCTGTGCCATTTATGCTGGAGGGTATCTCTGTCATCTCCAGTCTAGACTGAACAACTTTTTCTCCTTTAACAGCTGTTCTGTACTCCTCATAATCCTTATTGCCCTTCTCTGAGCCTTTGCCAGTGCTTCTCTTTTCTTTTTTGGAAGGGAGGGACAACCTGTGTGTGGTGTTGAGGATCCACACTCCCCATTTACACAGGGGTGTAAAGGTGTGGGGTCTGTCAGCACTCTTGGCTCCAGTGGTGTACACAGGCAGCATTTGGTTGCAGATCTGTTTTTAAGGTCTTTTTTTGTGCCAGCTCTTCTCTCAGTCAGATCTTCCCTCTGCTGTGAACCTGGCTCCTGCCTCTGGTTCCCCTGGCGTGGGTGGGTCTCAGTGGGTTCAGCATGCACAGGGGGAGCCCAGTTCAGGTTAGACACATGGAAAGGGAGCTAGAACTGCACTGGAAATCTTTGAAGAATAAAATAAAAAAAGCCCTTTCACCTTGATTTTTGTCTTTAAGCTGAAGATGTTCTGGATGAGTGGGAAGGGGAAGCTCAGGGGCCTTCCTGCAGAAGGTTTGGTTGGTGTCTGTTCAGTGACAGGCTGTCTGCACTGAGTACTGGGTTGTTGAGTTCTACCCAGTTCTAAAAAGTACTTTTAAGTAAAAGAAGCTGAAAATTGAGGTATTGAAAAATGATTCTGTAACTTAACTGACTTCTCCTGTTAATTTAGTCTTTGTCTTTTGACAGGCAAGTCCATGAGGTCCAGTCTTACATGGGGCGCCTGGAGACTTCAGACAGAGAGTCTGTGCACTGTGAGTAATTAATTAGTGAGAAAAGTCCAGTTCCAAAACTGATGTGATGGAGCTTGATCCTCTGATTTGATCCTCTAACTTGCTGGGCTTTGCCATTATGTTTACAGTCAGTATTGAAGCAAATTGAGTCTTCAGTCATGGTGATCAGCTGGTGAGACATCACCAGTTTGGAAAGCACTAAAATGATTTTGCTGTTTGACTTCAGTGAGGTGATATTTTGTGTGAAGGACAGGATGGAAGAGAGAACAAGAATTTATTTTAAATCCTCTTCCTAGTGTAAGTCTTTAATTGACAGTGCTTCCTGTGGATGCTGCTGGAGTGTCTTGATGTGGGAGTGGCAGGGACTTCTTGGTGCTGTTAGATTCTGCAGCTTGTCAGGGTGTGCTGTGGAGGCCTTCAGCACACAGGGGTTCAGAGCCCCATGTTGGTGCCTTCATGGGGAACAGGCTGGTGGGGGTGGAGCTGCTGACTCAGGATGTCCCTGGCCTGGTTTGGTAGGTGCTCAGAGAGTGGAGAAATGTGACTCTGTCCTCTTCCTGTGCCACTCCTGAAGCATCCACAGGTTGGCTGTTGACCCTGAGAGAGGCTTAGTCCAGGTTCTGGGGAAAATGCTGTGATTTGATGTGCAGGAATTTGGGCAGGGTGATTCTGATAGTTCAGAGCCAGAACCTGTGATTCCATCTGCTTATGAGAAACCCAGAGAACCACCAGCTCTGAAACTGCTCCAGGAAGTTTGGACTCTAACCCTGTGCTGATAAAACGACCAATAAAAGCTGTGAGATACTGTGGCAGGACTTCTCCCCCAGTGCAGAACCAGCAGATGCATTTTGGACCCGTGTTTGAAGTTCCTCCTGCCCCTGTGTGGGTGACTCCCCAGTGAGCTGTGTCAGCAGTTTGGGACAAAAGGCATTGACACGTTGACTGGCTCCTGTTCCCTGGACGTGGCTGCAGAAGGGCTGTGACAACCTTCCTGCCAAAACCCAAGGACTTGTCTGCTGCCTCTGGGCTTCCTGGTGGTTGTACTTCTGCTGCAGTCCAGGCTTCCCAGACTGCTGTTCACTGCCTGGGATTTTGGAACTTGGTGAAGATTGGCATGATCTGCCCTCTTGCCTCTGCTGCTTGAGGCCCTTCCCAGAGATGTGATTATCTGCCACTGGACAGAGGCAGGAGGTGAAGGTGCTCTATACAGATAAGTGCTTGAGATGCTAGTGAGCATTGCAGAATTTAGGGATTATCTTTTGGCTGAGAAGCAGGAACAGGAGCCAGGAACTCAAAGTTTCTCCTGCAGCTTTCCTTTTCCAACTTTGGGTGGCTAATCCCTTCTTGTTCAGAGAAGCCCAAGAGGACCAAGGTGTCACCAAGACATTGGTGTGCCTTTTTCTGGGTACTGTGGGGGTGTCAGCAGCTGGTTATTGATCCTTTTCTGTGAACCTCTTTAGTCTCAATGCAAACTGAGAGCAAGTGGTTTCTGCAGGATTTGGTGATTCCTCACCTTGGGTCTGAGCCCCAGGACTGTCCTCGTGGCTGTTCTGCCCACTAACAATCCCTCTGGTGACCTGCTCCAGAGGGTGTGAACCTTCAGCCTTCCAGCTCACCACCTGCAGCCACCAGGGTGTCAGATGATCAGTGGTGCTCCTGCCTTTTGCCCTTCTGTGCATTCCCTGAGGTTGTGGAGTGCTGGGTTGTGACTCAGACACAGAGGTTGTCAGGTGAGGAGGGGGCTTGGGGCTGGTCCCCAGTTCTGCTCTGCAGGGACTGGCAGCGTGTGGCTTTTGTCTGCACTTGGATCAGCCTCCCACAGCTTCAGAGGACAAGTGTCTGAGTTTGTGGTGTGAACTTTTGCCCCTCTGCTATTTCTATACAGATTTTCAGAAGCAGTTGCAATGCAGGTGGCTACAGGGGCAGTTATTTTGTGGCCTTGTTTGCTCAGTTCCAAGGGCTTCAGCCCCATTTTGGCCTCGTCTTTCTGAGCTGTTTGTCCAGCCTGCAGTTCCTGTCAGCTCTGAATCCTTCCCACACTCAGTATCTCCCATGCTGCAGCTGTTGATGGGTTCATTCATGCTGTGCTCACACTTTTCAGAGGTTTAAACTGCCAGTGTTGTGAGAATCACAGAATTATGGAAAGCTTTGGGTTGGGAGGGACCTTAAAGATGACCCAGTTCAACCCCCTGCCATGGGCAGGGACACCTCCCACTAGAGCAGGCTGCTCACAGCCCCATCCAGCCTGGCCTTGAAC